GTGGGAATCGAACTTTGAATATTAGGGTGAATAGTCTTTATCCCTAAGACCCGCAATTCTTCTCCCTATAGTGATACCTCGGCAGTCAAAATATAATTCGTTCAAACTTGGTTTTCGATAACCGGTTTGTTTGAGTACCGAAACATTTTTGCTATAGGAAACAAAGGTAATTATTTTAATTTGTAGTTACGCATTCCATAATATAAACGAAACGTGTGTCTAAGCAACAATAATTATTTAAATGTGTATATAATAAAGATAGAGACTTTTTATTAGTTCCTGTACGTTTGAGCCAATTTTTGTGAGCTCAATTGGATTCATTATTTGTGTGCGATGACGTTATCAAAAATTGCGCACATTGTCACGCTGCGTTTTCACATGAATGATTGTCCTATCGGTAGTCTACTGCAGGGGTCCGCAACTACTTTTTAGCGCGACCCCCGAAAAATTTTTCTAATTTCTCGCGACCCAAGCATTTGGTAAACATGTAATTAGTTATGATTTTAAGAACATTATTGACACTAGCAATTTTCTTGCACAAAATTATATGGAACTTATCACATAAATTCGTGAATAATAGCGTTTATTATGACTAATGCGAATTATTAGTTTTGTGTTTTGAACACAACATATCAATTCGAGGTTTAATTTGGGAGACAGCAACTCGAAGATCTTCTTCTACTTTTAGCCTTGATCTGTATTTGTTTTTTATGTATGAAAACGCAGAAAAGATTCTTTCACATAAGTAGGTAGTTCCGAATGGCAACAGAACATTCATTGCAGCAGCTGATAACTCCGGATATTCTTTTGCAACTGAAATCCAATATCCAGCCAAATTTCTTTTGCCATCAAATGCGATCTTCAATTCTAATTGTTGGTCCAATGTTTTGCTAGCCAGATTTTCCCTATGAAAAATTCGATGCGTAAAATTGATATGAGGCGCAATTTGTGATACTCTTGCTAAAAAAAACTTGTTTTACCGCCATGGCCCCAGCCCCATTAGTACAAATGCTAATACACCCCTCCCATGATAACCATCATTCTGTAGTCTCTTGTGGATTGCACAACACTTTTGCGAATTTTTGATCACAAGATGCACACAAAGACAATGGACCATGAAATACAACTCAACTTTTGTGCAAAATGCACATACATTGGCGTAAAAAATCGAAAGAAAAACAAAGTCAGCAATTTTTTTCTTTAACTAGTGCGAAACTTGCTTTCGATTGCCATTGCTCAACTGTTTAAATATCAACGAGTAGTTTTGATACCGCACAATGTAACTATCTAGCTTGTCAAATTTTCGTTCGTCAGTGTACTCCTATGCTTCGACTTTATAATTTTCAATTATAAGACTTCAAGCTCGAAACAGATTTACGGCATATCAGGCATACATCGTTGTCTTACAACCCTTCCCAATCCTTTTGATATTTCCGATTTTCATTCTCAAGCTTCATCTTTTTTGTTCCAGACGTACCGTTGGATTTGTTTTTGTGGTTCAACAACAATCGATAAAACACACTACCGATATGTGACTTCAACCTTGATGACTTCACAATGGGTAGAAAACTCATTGTATCGCCACAGATGTTGCACGCTTGAGTGGCCCTCTGTAAAATCATATTCTGTGGCTCTAAGTCTAAACAACGCTTTACTTATGGTGGAGTTGCGTGAAATTATAGTCTCTAAATTCTAGTAAGATTTGATATCATATCGGGAAATTTTTATGTTAAATATGTTTACATGTCCGTATCTATATGAAAACTTCAAGTGGGCCGCACGAATTCTTCCCGCGGGTTGGACATCCCTGTATTAGGCCATTGATTTCAAAATATCATTTATCCTTATTTACCTACGCGGCGACCTTTTTCTCTTGATTTTCACAGGGTGAGTGAATTCCCATACGCTGCAATGATAGTTCATATGATGTCAGCAGTCCACTGTTCACATTTCACATCCCTCATCTCACAACTTGCATCTTCGTATCAATTTGAATACATTTAAAATTAATAGAACGATATTGTTTAAATTGGGTACACCCGTAGTGTGTGTACCAACTTTATCTCAATTTTGCATATTTTATTTCTATTACGAGTTCGGGGACTGTCTGTGTTAGCCGTTAGTCGTTGGTGTTAGCCAAGTAATATGCCCACTGCCCATAGGTTTTAGTCCCTTTAACACAACTTGATGTGAAGTAGGTGAACAAAATTAGTTACCTCCATATTGGTACACACACTTCTGGAGCGCCCAAAATTAGGCTGTTGTCTGCTAGATAATTTGAATATCATTCCTGCTCTGTTTCAGTTCAAAAAAGAACGATATAGATTGACCATCAGACCTCATTTCAGTAAGATCTATATTGCAATAGTGTCATAGGAGGCAATCAAAGTGTTCATGACACATAAGTGGATTATTAATCTAATTATCAAAAACTGATACTTCATTTATTTCATACCACAATGCAAGCCCGTTTTAACATATAGTTTGAATTACGGCCAATAATGATGATTTGAGGAAATCTAGAATAACAGCCCTATTATAAATTTAAAATAGTTTGAACAACTAAATAAAGTTTATGTGAATGATAGAACAACAAATTGTTTGTTTACTATTATAGCTGGTCAAAAGGTTGGTAGTTGAGAACACTACTTTAAGCCCAATTTGGTGACAGAATTAGGTAATTCCAAGATTATATAATTATATAACAATCCGAAGTTTGTAAGTTCAAATATATGACGATTAAAGAGTGGAATCATAGCAAATGTTTGTTTAAACTCAACAATATATTCTCATATTTTAGAGACAGACCGTATTCTGCTGATTTTTGTCCTATTCGCTATCCAAGATTTTCACCACCTCCTTCATTTCGACGAACCCTCCTTTACGATACGGTCCAGGCCTAAGAATGGAGTATCCCGGGCCCATGCCATTTGGTTCACCCCGTTCCCACCCGGACGTCCTTCACCACATATGATGGGTGGATTTCCTGGCGACAGGGCACTTTTTCAACATCCAAAACCTAGATGGGGTTCGCCACCTCATCTAAGCCACAGGCGATCTAGTAGATCTCCTCCACCAGGTTTACGAAGAGATGACGGGCCGGGGCCTTCTCGATTTTAGCAAGAAAATTTGCATGTTTCTTCCTTATTGTCCATGCACACCACTGCCTTCTTGTTCTTTTCTCTTGATTTTGAATATATATCATGAACTGAATTTAGAGTCGAAATTTAACTGGTTTATTACTTTGAATACCTACCAGCTATTTTTGTGATATTTTGCATTATTAATTTTGATAAAAATTTATATTGTGCTTATTTGTGTTGCAATTTTTTTGAAATAATCACAAGCCACCTTTGGTGTCGAACAAATTCTTATTTATGTCATTTTATTATTTTTAATCTGATAGCAATTTAGTGTCGGCAGTTAGTGATTATTTTTCCCGATTTATTTATTTTTTTCAAACGTACTATTTATTCTGCAAACTTAATGGGGTCTGAAAACCTGATATATATATCAAATCCTTGGTGGGCATGATATTGATGAAGGGGTTATCCAGGGGAGATCCCAAGTTTTTAGACCGGGAGCCAAAATATTTGCCCACCTAGACTGACGTGTCATGTAAGGGTAACGTAAAAAGTTACATTTTATAAACAATATTTATTGTGGTACATAAAACATTAAAATTTGGTTTTACTTTGGTTATGGCAGTATCAGACGGCCAAATTGAATAACCCAACGGGCTGGATTTGCCCAGCGAGCCGTAGTTTCCCCATGTCAGCGTTATAGCGACTGGAGAACAAGACTTCCATTGTGCCAGTTTTGCGGTCAGGAATAAAAAAGCCAGCGATTATATTGACGTGACCATACTATGGTATTTTTTAAGTGTCGAAACAACTGGCACAAAAAAACAGCACTTCATGAGAGTATTGCAAACATTATGTTACCAATGTGCAAATATTCTACATGTACCAACTCTTATATAAAAACCAAATTAAAAAAGTTCGAATCTGGAGCGTTCCTAATACCGCCCGGAACAAACTCCATATCGTGCCAACAAACTACACTTCGTCACGCTAATAACCGAATTGCGTAAGTCATTTTTGGCGATTTTGAGTTTTTTGTAAAATAGGTATTTATGTAATGCTGCGCACCTGTCTGTTAACTCAGATTTTATTTTAGGAATTCCGAAACCCATAAAAATGGAGATTTAGTATGACATGCACATTTGTGCAAGCAATTGTTTCGTCATAATGAATTATCCTTGTTACCGCCGTACTATTGTGACGTCACAAAGGCAAAATAACCTCGGCGAAGTATTTTCGAGTTTTTGCATCTCGGATTCTAGCTTAGCGCGTATTAATTTGAATTTTTACTACAGTATAGGAAGACGTACACTTGTGATATTCACTGTCCGAGTCAAATTGACCTTGGTTGGCTTTTATATTGGGTGCATTGCTGTTTTATTCTTTATATTTAATCTTAGTCCTATTTCGGTGGGTGTGCAGAACGTGTTATATTGATGAAATATATATTTTTAAACATAAAAAATGATTTAATTGAAACTGATTAGCTATTTTGGGGATTAGACATTGTAGATACTGAGAATTACATTCGTTTTTGGAATGTTTAGTTTTCAGGACTGGTGCATATAGTGAAGTTGCAAATTGCGTATGTCACCAAGTCATAGACACATTTCTGCCTAAGTCACAGTGCGCCATTATGACGTCACTTAACTGCGTCATACAAATTAACTTAAATCCGGCTACGATCAAAAAATTGAACCATGGCAAATTATTGACTCTCAATTGCATAACAAAATCATTAGGAAGTTTTTTACGTTTTTCTCAAAACTGCTAAAAATGACTTACGCAATTCGGTTATTAGCGTGACGACTTATTGTTAATGCGCATGTAATATAGTAGGTGTGTATCCAGTTCATTAGAAATGAGTAATCGTGATTTCAGTCTCCACTTCCCAGCAATGTTGACAAAAAATTCATAGCAGGCCTACAAGTGCAATTTATTGAAAAATACTAAATATATCGACCAGGTAATTTGAACACAACGATGTTAAAGTTTGGAATCATTCTTATCATCTCCTATGTCTTTAACCAATGTGGCAAATATGAGATTTATTACTGGGTCGGGCCATGATCCCGCCTTTGTTATAACTGGTAAAATAATAAACAGAGAGGTAGTCCTGCTTATTGTGTGGTATACTCTCGTCTCGGTCGCAACAAAAGGTATCGTTTTGAACAATATTTATCATCACACATTGTCTTTGAAATGATCGGGGGAAAATTGATTCATGACTATTTCATCGAGCTATTGTGTGCGAAACTGGTAATAAATGTGTCAAATAATGCACGAAAAATCGTGGCTCATAGAGTTTTACAGACAAGAAACGTAGATGGATTCAGCCGGTTAACAAGAATTGAATTTTCATGCTACTCACAAAATTTCCAATTTGCAAAATGATATTTTATATAAATAGTTCTATGCAAACATATTAAAAAGACACTAATGTTTGTTAACAGCTCGTTGTTTTAAACAGTAAAAAAAGTGAAAAGAGTTTCTTCGTTGACCACAACGCACCTGAACAAATATATCAGCTGTGTCACAGTGTCATAAAAAGAACATGTTTCACTTTACAAGTTTAGCATAGAATCCAACTTCAGGACACAATAAAAACGAAATTGAGTGCATTCATTCATTACTGACGCTTGGCTATAACCACATACGACAAGGTAAAATATTATGGTGAAAGCATAAGTGTAGCAATTTCTCCGTTTTATTTATGACGATTATCGTACTTACAAAAGAATCGGTTGTACCAAATGCAAAAACAAAATTACGAAAATAATATCCCAGTTTCCCGATGTTCTTTACCACTAACGGCATAAAATCGGGAGAAGTATGAAATTTGAACAATGTTCTATTGTTCATGATTTGGCCATAGGATATAAATACGGTAGGTATAAATAATAAATTCTTTAAAATTAAAGCACAATACTATTTGCAAAACTAAGACAACCATTGCACAATCCATTTATACATGATATTTATTTAACAGCAGCCTTTCTTTTTAGTCTGATTGCTGTCACCCATTTCTTTGACGAGATATTTCAATCGCTGTAAACAATATTGAGCAGACTCGGTGTTTCCGCCATAATCGAGTTCCGCGAATTCACGTCGGTCAGCAATGAAAGCTTCAACTGCTACGTTCAAATCTCGCATTTCTTTATCTGTGAGTTTTTTCTGTTGTGATTCAATCTCAGTTGATAGTTCGGAATTGTTGCCTCTTCCGAGTTCTTTCAGCTCGTTAAAGCAAAATTGAACTCGGATATCGTCTTTTAAAACATCCAAAAAGGCGTCTGAGTCGTTATCGTTGAAATATTCAAAACCATTTGTTTTAGATTCTCTCTCTTCCTCCTCTGTTAACGGATCGTTGTTTTAGAGCGCTGAAGTTCATTACCTTGGAATTCAGTCTAATATTCTCTTCTTGGAGTCGCGCGATGATAAGGTTCAGATCCTCGATTTTATTTAATTTTGGTTTTGTCTTAATCTTAGAAACACTCTGTGCAAAGTTACATGTAGACAAGGTTTCATCCACGTTTTGCTCATCAATGCTGATAGTTGCCACCAAACTCGTCACTGAATTTCCAACGAGAGAATCGCGGAGAATTCTTGTAATCATGGTATTGCGAAATGTTTCTGGCCTACTGTTGTTGGCAATCGACTGAATGACTTTGTGCAGAAATAAAAGTGATCGGTTTATATCTTTGGCTTCGGAAACCAACAAACTATCCCCAAGTTGGTCCTTACTCACTCGCTCGGATCCAGCTAAGTCTACAAAATGAAGTTTTGATTCTACAACACCAGTGTCATCTTCTCGTTTAATATAAACAGTAAAAACAACGTGAGATCTAGACGATCTGTTATTGGCATAGGTCTGTGCAATTTCTCTGTTTGAATTCCCTTCCAAAAAGACGTCTAGAGCCTCGTCTGATGTTTCCACTTTACGTAAAGCCAAATTCACCAGCCTTACCTTGGTGTCATCCATTTTACAGATAACATCTCGCTTCCTCGACAATGTCTCGTGGTTAACAGAATAACTTTCCACGCCGAGTAAATCATACATCTTTTCTAGGTATATTTCCAGAAAGGAAACTTGAACTTCGAACGAATCGCCTTTGGCTTTCAAATCTTTAAATATGTAATCAATAGAGCGTGGAATCATCCCCATTCTTCGTTCGCTTCGTATTCCAGGTCTTCGCCCATAATGGTGTATGTTTTTCCAGTTGCAGTTTGTCCGTAGGCAAAAATTGTACCGTTGTAGCCATTGAGCACATGATCTATATAGGCCTGCCGACGGTTTGAAATACTTCTTCTTGTAACACGTTTTCGTCAAATATTTCGTTGAATGCGAATTTCTGCGTTTTCTTCTCTTTAGCTGAGCTTGATTTCAAAAGAACATCTGTCGGTTTTGTGAATTGTATCAGTTGTGTGTGGGAGGAGTCATCGTAGGATGGCCATATTTGAGTCTGTAATCTCGCATTACTGATAGGCGGTCTGATTCTGCAGAATGTCGATATAGTTTTACCTCCGTTTCTTCTCGAATTTTTTGACGACATTATGATGTTACATACTACAGTAGCTACACATACACAAAATGTAAAACCTGTTTAGACTTCTGAACCACGAAATACCAAACTATTATATACTTCGTGACACATTAATTCAACAAAGGCCTTTGTTTCCATCCCACCATCCTTTGAGGTGTTTGGTTTCGAGTATAAGGCTCGTTGCCAGCGCTAAGGTTTGTTTTGTAAACTCTGCGTCGATAAGATGGGGAAATGGGCAAATATTACCAACGTCGTACCATGTACGTGTAGCCTATATATATATACAAATATTGAGACAAGTTTAATCTGTCTGGAAGTGTTCAGATGAGTTGCGATTGATACCACAAATACAATATATATAATATATATATATGAATACTTTCCCTCGCGCTGAAGCTTTAAAATATTAAACTCGGAAGTGATATATTTGCTGCACGATACAGATATCAAATGGCGAGACAACGTGCACTATAACTGCGCTGAATTCGAATAGCGTGTTTGACATTTCAATTGATGAAACATAAGCAGCATGTTATGCATACATTTACTTTCATAAATCAACAATCCTGTTGATGGTGGGTTAAAGAAAATTTGGAAATTTGCTTGTTCTCATGCACGACTGTTCAGAACCTAATTTGCCCTAGGTCAGGGGTTGGCAACCCCTGGCACGCGTGCCAAACTTGGCACGCGAGCCCATTTATTCGGCACGCGAGCGAATTCTCGGAAACGAGGTCATTCTTCTTCAGACAAAAAGTTTCAAGACTCTGATGAATTATCTTAACAATCCGTTATTTATTCAAACTCCTTTTTTCCTTTCGTGACATATGACTACAAAGAATTATATTATGACGTAACAAATTAGTGAGCTCTCGAGAAGAGCGCAGCATCCATTTGGTTACATTCTTAAATAATATATTTCGTCTATGCCCCCCTTTTTCTTCATTTCTGCTTGATTTATAAGGTTGTACAGCTCATGTTGGTTAAAGTTATTTGCTAACTTACTATTAAATAATTTGATACTATATACCAGGGGTGGGCACACCGCGGCTAGCGAGCCGCATGCGGCTCGCCGGACTTTTTGTGCGGCTCTTCTCGCTAACACAAATTATTATCCAAATTTTAACCAACAGAAAAACTTTAATGTAAACTCATTCAATTTATTAAAAGTCGTAAAGAAGTTTTCGTCAATAATTAGGACAAATTATGTTGGTAGTATGAAAATCGCTGTAGCGTTGAATTTAAGTCGAGTCAGCAAATCTTTCGTCACAATGGTCAATGTTTATTAATGCGTCGGCGATATTGCAGCTTGATTGCGGTTAGTTAGTCTAAGTAAGTTACTGTGCGACGTGTCCAAAATTAAAAAAACGAAAGTACGAAGATGAAAACAGAATTGTCAGAGTTGCCTTGTTTATCTATTTATTGTTATTAGACTCTTGTGTGAATTTTTTTCTGTTCATAGTATTTCGATAATATTAATAAATTCACAAATTCTGCGGCTCTTTTAAAGTTCTGACTTGCAGCATGCGGTTCTTATACTAAGAAACTGTGCCCACCCCTGCTATATACATTCGAAAGAAATATAAGCCATTAGGGAAGGGAATACAAGAGAGAAGTGCAGAAAACAAAATATTGCGTGATTGGGATGCTAAATTTTTCGTGTCTTAAAAACTCTCCATGTTTTCCACCTACTTATGCTTGTGAATCTCTTTTCTCAGTTATGAACTTTATTAAGTCTCGTAATAAGAGTAGCCTGAAAGTTGAAGCCAGTAGTTCGTGCATTTCTCTGAAAGTTACAAAATGTAAACAATGTACAATGTAAAATCTCTATCAGCGGTAATGCAGCTGCAGAAGTCTCTCTGATATAGAATAAGAAAGTAATCAAATCAATTTGTCGGACTGATATTTTCCCGAATAGTGAATCTGTCTGTACATGTTTAAAGGTTTATTATTGTGTATATTTGCTTTGAAAGTAGCAAAGCATTGTTTTTAATATTGACCGGCACGCGGAAGAATTTTGTCGTTAAATTTAGCCGATTTTGGCACGCGAGCCAAAAAAGGTTGCCCACCCCTGCCCTAGGTCAAATGAGAGAAAACATAATATAAATTCAAAACTAGTGCAGGGCAATCTTTTTCACGGGCGAATGTTTCATAGATATTTAAATCGGTTGTACCAGAATTCCATTGTTCAAAGAGGACTCCCGCTTTGTGAAATTTCAATATGTCGTATACAACTTCGATTTATTACAAAAAAGTCTTGAAGTAAAGTGAAACTACTTACAAGGTCGCAGTATTTAGCAATAGAAATCTCGTTAAATAAGTAACACGGTGAAGGTTCATTACCGCTTCATAATGCTGAATATGGGTCACAGGTAGAAAATTTTGATAAAAACCATGCATATAATTCTTGAAAAAATGTAAAAAAAAGTTCGAGTATTTTGTGAAGTTGTCGCATTTACGAAAAATTATAAGTTTAATCTATCGCAGGGGTTTAACGTGACTTGAGATACAAAATCTAAATTTATAGCTGAACGAGTATATAAGTTTCCTATGATCAACTCCCATAATATATATATTTATGTATATATATATATATATATAACTTTTCGAGTATACTGGTTGCTGCATACGCTCCATTGCTCCTTCTATTGCAAGGTACTCCGCGAGTCAATTCGTGTAGGCCTGCATATTTCGATAAGTAATCATGTACCCAAGCAATATGATAAATGGAAAACAAGGAATGCGGATGAAGCGACCCCGGCAAACCTGCCTTGATAAATACTTAGATAGGCGTAGACTCCTGTCATTCATAACCAGTATGATATGTTAGGGTTATTTCGTTTATCAATCAAAACGCTCCTGGATCGATTATTATAGAACTCATTAAAAACCAATTGCAATCAAATTGACTAATCTGCCCAAACAACTATTTCGACGTTTCACAAGAGAATCCACTAGTTCCCCATCTATTAATGGCGGGGTACCCGCTTGTCAACAAAGTACAGTACTAAAAGTTTTCTTTCAAGAACCTCCTATCCGTGGAAAATACTTTTTCATCATCTGTTTTCTAAACATACATGACTCTAATTAATTCAAGTCTAGTGTGAACTATTATCTTGTTGCAAGATCAAACATATATATATATATAGCTTTTACGACGCCATTAGTACAGGTATCTCTTGTCTTGGACTCTTGTACTCTTTCCTCGTTAATTGAATTCTTGGAAATTGTCTCCGAGCAAACTCTCATAAAATATGGTTATGACGTACCAAAAACAAATAAATGATATCGTAATCGCGGCAGTTCAAATATAGTTGGAAGAAGACAGAAGAGCAGACAAACAAAAGTAAGCTGTGATATAAATAAAACAAGTTTATATAATGAATAAATACAATGATTAGCGGAGTCACATTCTGTCCAGGGCCGGATCATGCCTTTTAGACCTCAAGCACTTAAGATGTTGGCGCCCTATTAATAAACAAGAGAGTGATGCTGAGAGTGATGTACACGAAGGTCAAACCGAAGTAGTATGGGCATGCATTCTGTCACGGCAGACTACAGGTACCACGGGCCTAACGACTAACGCAAAACTGCCACAACGTCGGCAATTTTTGATGACGTATCCACGCAATCAACAAGTACATTTTACGTACAAAATAATAATGAACTGGTGTTATATGTTATCTGAAGCTGGATAAGTATTATTCTGTATTCAATACTAATGAGAGCCAGGCCACGATTAATTTGCCAGTTTTTTGAGAAACAGTTCCCATACAAACATTGATAGAGAGGTTAAGATGATACATGGGAGCTTCATTTCAACCGGGTCAATATTGAGGTATGTGTTGTCTGACCAACTCGAATTGTTTCATCAAACACTATTAAGGCAACATTGGAAAATCGTCTATGAAAATTTGTTGGTGCCCCCTTTTCCTTGGTGCCATAAGCACGTGGCAAGGATATTGCAGAACCGTTGGATAGTTTTTGACAAATCGTAGTTGTACCTTTTCTAATACAGCCACGCAGAATAGTCGTGGTGGCATCACCTCAGACGTAAAACAGACAATACGAAGGCATCTTTGATTGGTAAAATTAAAATATGTATTCAATCGACAAATATTCACTGAAAAATCTTTTTGAGTCCGATGTAACAACATTAGTTTCAACGTAATGATTAATGAAAAAGATCGAATTTTCAGCGGG